GGGCCCCGAGAAAGGGCCCAGCAGGGAAAACCCGAGCTAACGGCCCGGGCCGTTCCCCCCAACATTGCCCCCAACATCGCCAGGAGGCTCCCTATAAGGCCTTTTAGTGGACACCATTGGCCATAGGACCCCAAGCTGCACTCACGATCCCACGAGGCCCCATTGGATGCCCACGGAGGCATCAAACAACCGTCCAAGTTGCCAACGAACACCTTCCCAAACTCGCTCAAAATCCAAGCACGAGGTGGCGGGAATGGCCCGAAGGTTACTACTACCACTGCTACTCGCACGAAAATTACGACTACTACGACTGCTGCTACTACTACTGCGACGACGACTACTACTGCGACGACGACTACTACTGCTACGACTACTACGACTACTACGACTACTACGACTACTACGACTACTACGACTACTACTACTACTACTACTACTACTACTACTACTACTGCTGCTGCTGCTGCTGCTGCTGCTGCTGCTGACTGCTGCTACTCTCCTGCTCCTGCTACAGCAGCTACTATCACGATTACGACGGCGACGACATTACTACAACTACAACTACAACATCTACACTACGACACTACTCAATACTTGCACACTACTACTATACTACTACTACTTACTACTATACTACTACTACTACTCCTGCTACACTACTCTACTACTACTACTACTACTACTTACTACCACTACTACTTACTACTACTACTCTACTACTACTACTACTACTACTACTACTACTACTACTACTACTACTACTACTACTACTACTAGACCCCACCACCACCACCACCACCACCACACCACCACCACACACCAACTACTACTACTACTACTACTATACTATATACTACTACTACTACTACTACTACTACTACTACTTACTACGACTACTATACTACTACTACTACTACTTACTACTACTACTACTACTACCTACTACCACTACTACTATACTACTACTACTACTACTACTACTACTACGACTACTACTACTACGGCGACGACGACGACAAATATTACGACTACGACGACGACGACGCCGATACTCTACTACTACTACTACTACTACTACTACCACTACTACTACTACTGCTACTACTACGGGACTACTTACTACTACTACTACTACTACTACTACTACTGCTGCTGCTGTGCTGCTGCCGCTACTCCTACTAGTGTTACGACGACGGCTAGTACTACACATTCTACAAGTACTACTATCACTACTACAACGACTACGATACTCTACTACTACTAGTACTACGTATTAGTACTAGTATAGTTACTAGTTACTAGTACTAGTACTACTACTAGTAGTACTAGTACTAGTACTAGTACTACTACTAGTACTAGTACGAGTACTACTACTACTACTACTACTTCTACTACTTCTACTACTACTACTAGTACTACTACTGCTGCTACTACTACTACTACTACTACCACTTCTGACCTACGAAGACTTCGACTACTACAACCATTACCTACTACGACCATGGGTACGACTACGACTACGACGACGCCGACTACAACTACTACGACGACGACTACTACTACTACTATTATTACTACTACTACTACGAGTACTACTGCGACTACGACTGGGACTACTACAACAACACCTACTACGACTACGACTACGACTGCGACTTCGACTACGACTACGACTACAACTACGACTGCGACAACTACTACTACAACTACTACTACGACTACTACTACTACTACGACTACGACTACTACTACTGCTACTATTACTACTACTACTACTACTACTACTACTACTACTACTACTACTACTACTAGGAATACTACTACTACTACTACTACTACTACCACTACCAATACTACTACCAATCATACGGCTACTACCACCACTACCACTACCACCACTACTACTACTACTACTGCTACTACCACCACCCGTACTACTACTACGACTACGACTGCGACTGCGACTGAGACTACAACCACTACGACTGCGACCGCGACTACTACTACTACCACTACTACTACTACTACTATACTACTACTACTACTACTACTGCTACTACTATTACTAGTATTACTACTACTACTACTACTACTACTACGACTACTACTACTACTACTACTACTCCTACTACTACTACTGCTACTACTATTACTGCTACTACGACGGTAGTCGTACTTCTTTGACTACTACTCCAACTACTGCTATCAATAAAACTACGGTTGTTACTTATACTGCTGCTAGCCTGGGGGCCCATAACATACCTCTGCACATACGCATGTATATATACCCATACACATATATCTTTACACACAAGTATGTCCATACATATGTAATATATACTACCCATCTACACATGTATACATCTGTACATAGACATGTCTAGGTACGTAATATATGTGTGTGCCTATGCATATGTGGTTGTGTGAATTCGTACATGCATGCTCTGATCTGTCTTCCTGCGTACATGCACACGTGCACACATATGACTAATGAGGGAGC